TGAGATAGAGGTTAAGATTTGTCCTTATTTCGTGTGTTTACTTGCACATGTTTCTAAATTGGCCTCTGATAATAAGTAACCAGATAACTTCATAAAAATTCATAAGTTTAGAGAATATTTAGAGTATGTAGGAATGGGCCATTGGGTCTTTTGACTTGTTAGCTTAACTTAATTGTAAGATTAGTATCCTGCTTAGCTGGTGTTTTTGTACAGACATACAGAAGTTTAGCCGGCTTTCACCGGAATTGAATGAAATCGTCTCGGGGACAGCGTCAACTATACTCTTCCGGTACAGCCAATTGTCAGCTGGCCAAGGGAAGTCTGCCTTCATCTTGCTCTGAGATCAACTTATGAATCTATTCACCATACACTTTCACTCAACTTAGAATTAAAAGCGAAAAGAATCCTCGAAACCCATGTTGATAAATAAATGGAGTGAATTCATAATTGCATACTATGGCTATCTTTAAATAATCTTAGTCAAACAAATCCCCATCATTTTTGTCCTATTGTGCCATCTTCTTTTTCTCAGGTTATTTACCTACATAACTACAAATTTTGCAAATGTTAAACATAAAATGAGTCAAAGAGACTAACTTCACTTGCCATTTTGACAAGTCTTAGTTTGATTATGAGAATCGTACTGCTTATCGATAATGCCGACTACAATACCGGCGAACTATCTGCAATGTACCTGGTCAACGGTCAGCTGCTGAAAAAATATTTGATAGCGCTATTGGCTTCTGGATATAGCAGTTAAGAGTGGCAGAGCATATTGCATAAACTTGCTATAAGATAAAATGCCTTCAAGCACATAGCTTTATAGGGCTGCTACCAATAGGTAAACAATTAAGGAAATCGAAATTAGATTATTTAATAAATTTAATCCAACGGATAGAAGTTGCTATTTAATCAAGCCCTACTTATCTTTGGCTAATCCGCTTGAAGATAAAAATGTTATTAAGCTAACTTGAAGAATGTAAATTAAATAGCTTGTTCGGCAAGAAGTTAATCATCTCAACCATACTGATGCCTTGCCATTAGTAAGCAAGCTACAACTCGTCAGAGGCAAGTTGCGAAAAAAAGATCAAACCACTTCTATACCCAGTCATAGCTTCTTAGTATAGTACAAATTTTCTGCTCTTTTCTTATAAGTAGGCAATGTCATACGCACAACCGTACATGCACATATACGGACAATAAAACGAGACTATATATATATAATTACCTGGGTCCGAGTCCCGCTGGGGGTGCTGAAAAGGCTTAGATGAAGTTAAAACTGCAGTTTACCCTGGATGCGAATATCTTTCGCGAGGAAGAAATATATTAAATTGATTGGAAGCGTGAGGCCTACTCATATCATTGTAGAAAAATTCAACTGCCAGTCATTCAAACTGAGCGAAATAGGGTGAACACATTTCCTATATGCATTGTACACTTGGGATCCATGCAATTTATCTTATAAACAAAAATAATATTAGATAATTCTCTATCTTACACAATTCATTTTTATTGTAGCATACATAACGTTTAGAAATATACCAGCTAGCTTTTCTTACTTGATACAGACTTGGATTGTTTACATCTGCCTTGTGATCCAAGGGCACTCGTAGCAATGGGGCGTAGTGGTTAATGTGTCAAGCATACACACTGCAACGTCATGGTTCAAGTCCTGCTTAGGGTGTTAATAAGACCTAAGCGAGGTCGAAACTGCAGTTAACTCTCGATGAGAACACTTTTGGGGAAAACACGTCTATGTGAAATTCACTGGAAAACATCAGCTCTACCTGTATCATTGTGGAAAAAATCAACTATCATCACCTTAAACGAAATAGGGTGAATGGAACTCACTTGATGAGCTCTGTCATTCGTCAGACGAAATCTCAGCACGTTTTTGCTAGAATCTAAGTAGGGGGACTTCACTGGCCCCATCTCTTCAATATAATCAAACCTCAGCATACTTAGCAGAATCTGCCTTCTTCTTCTCGTGAGATTGTCGTACTATCAATTCCATCACATACTTTCGCACGAACTAAAAGCTGTTAATTTTATTTGTTTAGAGGATCTCATCTCCTTCGATTGTATTAACATGTGATTGCCAATAGAGTTTCGAGTAAAGCGATTAATCTGAATTCTTATTTTATTATACAACAATCCCGACTCTTTTGTCTTTCAACTTGTCTTTACATGAGATTTCGGTGTTCTCCTATCTGCTGATTCTAGCAACGTACATTTGTTCTTAATTTGTTAACTGCTTTTATATTTATCTTACGGCCTTATTTATTTATACACCGATTTTAAGCCTAAATTGAATTAGATAGAATGCAATATGCTAAGCGTGTGTTTCAATCTCTCTTATTTACTTGAGTTATTGCTTTTTTTTTCTTTGACTCCTGAAACCATAAACAACGAGTTATCTATCGTTCTTTAAGATAAACTGGGACTCAGGCAACTACATTTTTCTTTTCTCTTATGAATAGTCTCTTTAGATCGTCATTTTCAAGTTTAAAATACTTTGAACTATTTTTATTCAATCGTTACCCCCGTTTTTAGATAGTCCACCTCAGTAACTCTAGGGCATTTCAAATCAGCTTTCTGGGATGAAAGTGCATGAGCGGTTGAGTATATCAAATATTTCTTCCTTGTTGAGCTTAATTTTGTTTGGACTATATACATACCTCCTCGTTGAAAAAGTTCTCTTAGATCTTATGTTAAATTATATAATTACGCTAATATACACACCACTTGTTGATTTTCGCCCCTGTCATCAGGAGATTTCGCAGTGCTTATAACTTCCGGGATGAATGTTCCGACCGCGCTTTGCTTCAACCTCCTTTCTGCCTCTACTGCCTATATTGGTTTTTTCATTGGTATTGCTGTTGGTGAACTCTCTAATGCCAGTCTCTACGCCTTCTCAATCACTGCCGGTCTCTTTCTCTACATTGCTCTCGCCAATATGGTGAGTTACTTTCTCCACAGGCCTTCACTTACCTAAATTGATCTAGGATGGCAATAATTTTCAATATTTAAAAAATGACTCCTTTTACCGCGAAATTTTGATTTCTCCATCACCATTAATTAAAATGTAAATCCCATATACCTCTGTCATATTTAGATCATCCTTCCTATATTCTGTTTAAAGCATACCTGTTTTAGCTGCTTTTGATATATATTTGAGGTCTATGATTGTTTTATCCTTTTAAATTTAACACTTCCGTGTGAATGAGGGTTCCTAATTATCAGTTGGATCTGCGGCTACATCATGTCATTCCTCCAACACCTTGAGGAGATTATCTCAACCAGTGACCCTAAGCATTTAGACTTAAGCTACAATACATAAGTGCGACACTCCTTTTTAAAAGTAGACTATATTTGAATTTGAATATTTGGCAAAATTCGTATTCGCAATATTTTCTAGTTTACCCTACACATACCGTATTTCCCCATGTATAAGCACCCCCTTTGTATCATCACTTACAATTATTTACAAAAAATTACAACATACTGCTGAAAAACCAGTTGATTCCTACTTTATTATTTTATGCATTTTTCACGCATAAAACGTGTACCTACTTTATATATGCCGCCCCCCTACTTTTTGGGCTTTGAAATTTTGAAAAAAAAGGGTGGCTTATACATGGGGAAATACGGTAATTATCCCCAACAAAAAATCGATTTAAATTATGAATTATTATAATGAAAGTGACAACAATATCTCATTTTTTGGTAGGGATATGTCATAGATCGGACCCAGACTTCAATTCACCACAGATGCATGAACCGTAAGAGAAAAGGCGTGAAGTGTAATTCAAGTTTAAGTCTCTTGATTTTATCATAATTAGCTTTGAGAAGAGAAAAACAACCTAGGGACCTATAGTCACATTCTAAATTACTAAAGTCTGACTTTAGAGACCACATACTTTTCTTTGCAAGCATTCTTTCAAGGTTATCCGCATATGTATAGCTATATGAAAATGTATACACATCTTTGTGTTGTTATGTTACGAAACTGTTATATACCCATAGTCTTTACTTATTTATGGTTGGTTGATATTGTTTATGCTTATCTTTTATCAGTAATTACTGATCTTGGAACTTGTCACGGTTGTAACCTTTAAAAGAAGTTGCTCGATTAGATTTCTCATCATTTTACCTCCGAACGAAAACAGTTTAAAAATACATAAGAGAGGTGAAACTAAATGTGAAGCAAGCCCTGACGGGCAAAGCTTTAGTCTTCTTCAATTATAGCTTAACTTGAAAGATGCAAAATTATTACGTTACTGTAACTGTGAGTATATGTTAGCGGCATTGGCGTCTGTTCCTGTCTCTAAATCATGAAAATATCAGGTTATGATTTCAGGCAATGCAAAGGAAACGAACGTATTTAGTTGGCAAATCATTGCTTTTAATAATTATATGGTCTATTCCTGTATTTGTAGTGCGTGACATAGGTGACCAAGCTTAGATTGATGCCATACTGCAAGCTGGTGTGAGTGTAGGGATAGAACACTCTTGGAATCTCGTCGGAACAAAAAGTTATTGGCAATGCTATGGGCTTTAAGATTAAGGGATAGTCTTTCTTAACATACTTTCTATTTCAAATAATATGATCTGGCTGTTGTGTTGTAATTCGTGCGCAACTCTGTGAGGTCGTCAAAACCCCATCCGGCACG